TAGATGTATCTCCTTCTAGGATATTGGGGTTATCATCGCGACAAACGACGATAATTTAGTCAAAGATATCGCTCTATGTGGAACGACGTGGTACCACCACGTCGACCATGTCGCGACGATCACCACCGACGCCATATTTTTCAGCTGATAGCAGGAACCACGACCGCCATGCAACGCGCGTGGCGAAGCTCTCCTCACTCCTCAGTAGACGACGCCCGCGGGTTAACAGCGCAGGCGCAGTCTGATATCTCTCTTGCTTCGTTTACCACACGATAGATGACACATGGCTCCGAGCATTACAAATTTCGTCGATTTCCGCCACATCGCAAATTATGCTAAAAAAATTTGGATCAAAATATTCTTGAACAAAAATGTTGAGAAACATTCGTCGGCTATTTGTTTATGATCAAAGTACTGGTGAGGTAGGCTCACATCCAATAGGCGACATGGATTTGGCTGGCGTGCTGGTCACTTTAAAATATGGCTGTCTTCTCATGGTCCCTTTAAAATATGACGGTTTTTTCGGAGGGACGTATGTGCTCTAGTAAAGTCCTCCAAGTGTGTTCAAAGTCGAACACCACAGAAGCACACAGTAGTAGTTATTTACCAAGATGCGGTTTGTTGTGTTGAATGAAATGCCGGTTATGTCACCGCGTTATCTGAGTGTGGTTACCAGTAATTGTCTTTGCTCGACAGCCCTTTTAAGTGCGTATATTATTTCTTAAATTCTTCATTTTTTCAAGTGTCATGTTCTATTCAATGGTCATGTTCTTTTCGTATAACAGGTTATTTATTGGACTGTTAACTTAGCAGTATATTGGACGCTGGTGAGCCGAAGAGAGAGACCAGCTGTTTGATTTAGAACTTGTAATTAATATGGAGGCAATATGGACACATTTATAACTACATATTTCTGTACCCCAAATGAAGTAGGTATTAAACAGTTTGTTCTTTGATCAACGTAGAAATATAGGTGTGAACTTAAATGGCGAGAATGTGATTAACATGTTGCAAGAGTAGGGCTAAGCAATCGATTGATTAACCTTCCTGTTATTTTACTAATATTTTTAATCACTATCTATAATTTAACCTAGATCAATTGAGTTCTCAGTAAGGACAGGTCGGGAGAACAAAACAACAGTAAACGTCTGAGCCGGCTTGCTAGAAACCGCGTCTCAGTTGAGAGTGTGGAAAGAAAGCACTGCCAAAGCGGGACTGAAACTGCGTTTCAAGACTTTCGTTAACTCAGTCTCAGCTAAGACTCTGATCTAAGCAAGCCGGGCCAGGGCCGGCTTGCTTGATTTGGCGTGTTTTCTTAAACTGTGAAAGAAAGCCTGCCAAGCCTTGGGCACGCGAGCGCTTGACATTCAGCTTCCCGTGCCACTCCCCTCGTGCGCTCGCTTCTGCAGTGCTTCTTTTTTCACGGACGCTGAGTCTAGCAAGCCGACCCAGGTGTCTTACCTGCGCCTCTACTTATTTTGGAGGGCAGTACTGTTGTCTCCTAGGCTTGTTTCCAAAATTTGGTTGATCCGACTCCAAAGTAAAGGTTTCGTACCGTGGCGTTTCAAAACCTACTCCCGCTTACTCGATGATGTCAGAACTCACGTTCCAGAAGCGGGTTGTTTACTATGGAGTAATTACTCACGCTACTCTCGTCGATCGGGGGGCAACGTTGCATTAAATCCAGTAAATACGTCACGATATCTCTTTGACGTTTGCTTTCTGTGCCGACAGCCATCAAAGCTTGCTTGCTCCGTTGACTTTGATGGCGGACGTTCGAAATACCAAAGAACGAGGCGCCGCCATTTATGTGTGGTTATCGCGATTTGCTGTTTTCAACGCAGGAATTGACTGCATCACATCCAGACCGTGCACCTTCTCCGGGAAGGTACAAGTGTGTTTGAAACATCGTCTGCTAAAGACGCCGGCTCTCGGCGCCGTATGCTCTTTCCTTGACGGCAGTTGGCATCCTCGACCGCTTGCGCCACCTCTTGTCTCCCGTGCGAAATTGCGCAGTATTGTTTGAAGACCGTTGGCTTCGCTGTGTTTCCATAGGAGCTAAGCCTTTTTCTCTCTTTACTTTTTCCTCAAGTAAGTTCGTTCATTGCAAATTTTACACAAAAAAAAAAAGCGCCATCTCTGGGCAACGCTTCACAAAGTCGTAGCGCGATAGGTTAAGAAACCGAATTTCGCGGTCGATTTAAAGAGCGTGGCCGCTACTTGGGACACCCAGTATATATGTATGTATGTATATATATATATATATATATATATATATATATATATATATATATATATATATATATATATATATATATATATATATATATATTGTCACGAATTAAGGCGACGAGAAAGCAAAGAGTAAACTGAAAATAAAGGTTTAATGGGCGAACTTGTGCCAACCAAAAATAAGTAACGAAAGCGCGTCGAGGCAGTAGAAAAGCAGGCGGCGATTCGGCGGCGAATCAGAGAGCGCGAGCGAGACTGAGACTGACTCGACAAGGTCGCGGGCAGCTGCTTATCTACCCTGCGTCACTATCTCGAAAGTTCGGCAAAGAAGGTTCGAGCGTCGCGCGCTTGGGGCGAAGATGAGCTGGCACTTTCGAGAATAACAAAGCAGAAGGAAAGTTACGTCTGCTGCGAGAATGACCGGGAATCTTCTAGAAGACCGTGACCATGCGCGCGGCAATATATATATATATACAGATGAGTGAACCGTATGGTAATCCAATGAATCAAGAATGAAAGTTTTACGTACCCGCCGAAAGACAAAATAAACGGCGGAGCCATTTTTTAAAGCAAATTTGTAAGATAAAGAAAAACACCTGGTATATATATATATATATATTTATATGCAAGGTGCTTCATAAAAGGCTTGTGTCGTTTTGGTCCTGGACCAGGGGCCTATTTAGGAAACTTATTGAAGTCCGGGATAATCAAATTGTTAAATGTTTTTGCGTAATTAATTTTTTAATATTATGTTTAAGGGCGTGGTTTCAATTAGAAAATTACTCAGCATCATCGAAAAACACTATATCAGCAAATTCCGGAACGATGGAAGGCACCCGAAGCATTTTACGGCTTTCTGAAAAACCGCAGCAATTCGTCGGGTTTTTAAGTTTCGGTTTGCAATCGGAGCGCATCTCGGTCCCGACGGCACCGCGCCACGTGGAGAAATAGTGCAACAAGCCTCTGCAGCGTTGCGCGAGGACAGGGCAGCAGGGGTTAGTTGCACTATTTATATAAATATATATGTTTTTCTCTTGTTTTTTTTTTTGTGTGTGTGTGTTTTTAGTGCACCTGGCACACATTGTAACGGCATAAACTTTTTTTTTCCCTGCGATGCGTAGATTTCGCCGGAGCGAGTTGTCTCGCCTTTGCGGGAACACCCTGTATCATTAAATAAGAAAAAAGAAAGTTTGAAAATTAAATCTAAAAGAAAGCATGTAGGCCTTTCTGAGATTTTATGCTTCGAGAGAAACTGAACCGATTAATCGATCAGTTAATTAAAGGGCGACGAATAATGAAGCTATACTTTATTTTGACATTAATAACTGACAAAGGTAAGGGAGAACTAAAAGTGACTGACGATAAAAAAGGTAAAGGAATATTACATATTACAGTGGTATGTTGTGTCCTAGTTGGAACTGGTAGAGATGGGGCCTCTGAAACCCTTCATCTAAATTCAGGACCCCGCTTGCATTTCTTTCAGAACACTGTGACCAGCCCCCTGCATGGGATCTCATCAAGTTCCGGCCTGGTTCACAGCTTGCAGTGATGAATCCTGGTACTTATTTTTGTTTTCCTTCTTCTTCCATTGAAATTCTGAATAAAATGTACTTACGGTACAATTTGCATTGCAGACGTTTATATTGCCCTGCATGCAGTATTGACTTAGGTCTTTTCACAGTGAATGTGAGTTGTCCACTGCAGCTTTCTTTTCAGATTTATTTATAATGTTCTACTAAACACTATAAATACATCCGAATAGAAAGCTGCACTCCCGAAAATGACTGCCGAAAATAGCCTAGCACGCGGAGAAAATCAAATGTCAAAATTCTAATTGCCAAAGCATACGGTTGGGAACCAATATTGGATAAGCCAACGATTAAACCAATATGCCAATATTGGTTGTAAGACCCACAACCAACAGTGATCCGATGATAGCTTAGGTACTGGTTAAATTGAGACCCAACCTTGGCTTAAATGCTCGTTAAATGGCGGTCCAACGATAGATGAAATTATGGTCCAATGTGAGTTTAAATATTCTTTTAATCATGGACCAGCATGGCATTAGTGAATGGTCCAACATTGGATCATTTAGCGCTTTCAAGAAAACTAACCTTAGGCCAATACTGGAGCCATTTTTTGCTAGTGGTGTGCCGATGTCGGTTCAACAATGGTTTGCTGTTTTGGAGATCTACTTTCAACGATACAATAATTTAAAAACAAACGGCACCCGCTGTTTCACCGACTCGAGTTTAAAACCATGACACACATGACAAGAAAGAAATTTAACAAAACGAGCTGTGATGTGCATTTTCGCTTTCGCTGGCTTGGGAGATTTTTCTATGCATTTATGTTCGTCTAGTTTAGAACGTAGATCGATGGTTGTTTATGGGTACGAAATTGAAAAAAAAAATATAGTCATGTTGAGATTCTTACTAACAAGAAAAATATAAACAAAATAGCTACTGCCGAGCTTCTACGTAAATAGAAGGTTATGAGTGAGCAACTTACATGGAAAAGGGCGACTTTTACGCAAGCAGAAACTATCCCCAAACACCATAAGGTCTGGTTTGCGAGAAGAAAGAAAAATGGCGGTTCCCAAAAAACAAAAATCTAGCTCAACGGAAACGAAATTATGAACCATGACACAAAAGGTCACGATGTGTTTGCTTCGTGATCTTTACCATAAACTCAACAAAAGGCAGACACTGAGTATATATAGAAAGGTTTGAAAACCCGAACCACTAGCTTTTGTGGTTACAGCGACCATGCGTTTCAGCTGCATTTTGGGCCTTCTAGCAATGTGCCTCATTGGTAAGATTTATATCCCCCAATCATGTAGCGCTGTGATGAGTTCATTAGATTATGGCTATATATTTCTATATCAATGTTTTGTTATAAATTTATATTTTTTTATATTTGTGCTAATTGCCCAGGCTATTAACATAAAAAGAAAATGTTCCCGAATTTTATGATATCACAATTTCAAATAACATCCTAGAATAATGACAAGCCTAGCAGACCCTACAGTTTTTATTGTTGAATCACTTATTGCTGTTGAATACATTATGTAGCTAGAAAATGGTTAAATATAAAGTTGACTACTTCCAGAAAAGTGGTCCCGTAGCTCAAGGCCACAACAAAATATACATTTTAGATCATTCACCGTTATACTGTATTTTTTATTTACTTTACTGCTGTAAGTAACATAAAAATAAATTTAGACTTCTTAGAGTTATGTATATTAATTAGGGGAAGAAGCTATTGGAGTCATTAATTATTTGCAATGTGTATTTTTCTATCATCTCGCATAAAGGCAACCGATCAATTATTTTTGATGGCATTTTGCTCTACCTAATGTGTATGGTAATTGTAATTATGGAACGCAATGTTAAAAACACCAATACGCTCAAAATTATGTTTTACGAAGTTACTTATATTTAGTAAGTTTCATTAATATTGTTTGCATTTGGGATTGGCGGGTGTTGTCACCGACTAGACAGCACAGTTATGGCAGCTCTTGCGGGGGTCCCAAAAACTGTGACGCATATCTTATGTGTTGCGTGCGCCGGAATGAGATCTAACGAAGAAGACACTACCCTATCACACTTTTGTTCTGAACCCACTGCCTGGAATATTTTTTGAGTTATCAGGATATTATAAATGTAGCATTGCTCGAGCGAAGCAGGTTGTTGCGAGTCCTACGAGTTTTATGAACTCTCCGCTGCCAGTCAGGTGGCGGCATTAGCCGATAAACGGTCCAATATCAAATCGAGCAAATTAGCCAAATCAGCAACATCCTACGTCTTTTAAGTTGCCACTGAATAAAGGCTATAGCAACTTACTTCACTGACCAGTGGTAATTTTACCTCAAATGCAGCCACGCGTGCGTTACGTCTGAAGGGCACAATGACTATCTTCTACCGGTGACATCGACTTCCGGCACCCCTGATGAAATCTTCTGAATGATTCTTAATTCAACTAAAATTCCCGAAGTTCTAAATCTACTATAAAAACTTGGACGACTGGTCGAGTTAATACTTTTGCGCAATCTTTACGATATCTTTTTGTTGCAGTTCAGGCAGCTGAACCGAATTGCACAAGGACATGGGTAAGACCTTGTGTCACATAAGTTCCCCTTTATCTCATGAAACTTCTAATTTAATCTAAAATGGCGATCGATGCACTCAAGTTCGTTCATGCCTGGGGAAAAGAAATGCATAGCAAAAAAAAAAAAAAGAGTTAAACGGAGAGAACTCAGGAATCGCCCTAGTAAAAAAATTCATTTGTATAAGAAATTTCTTGTGTCCAATAAACACATATGAATCATACAAGATATAAAAGAACATATAAGAACCATATAAGAATTATATGAGAACTATATAAGAATTATATAAGATATATAAGAACCCCATAAGAAACGTATAAGAAACTTCTCACTAGTTTCTTATATGGTGCTTGTATGTTCTCATATATCTTATATAGTTCTTATATAGCTCTTATATGGTTCTTATACGGTTCTGATATGTTCTTATATATCTTGTATGATTCATATGTGTTTATTGGACACAAAAATTTCTCATACAAATGAGAATTTTCAATAGGGCGTCCTCAAGTATGTCGGCCACTTTGTGAAAAATTATGGCATGAGTGATATAAACTCGTTTTTATTAATGCATTAGCATTAGTACCAACATGGCAGCAAAAAGCTGGCGCCCTCCGTCTGCGGACAACACCGTGGAAAGGGAAGCGCGCCGCATACAGAGGAGGAGAATACTGAGGGACAAAGGCGGGAGGGAGGTGACGTCACGGGGCGGAAGCCAATACGCGCGCGGGAAACCGGGAAACCGCGAAAGCAGCGCAGGCAGCGGATGCCGCTGCTAAGCGTGCAAGGCGGGCGAACGAGACAGAGGAGTGGAAGCAGCGGTTAGTTCGGTTGGAAATAATGCAACGCAAGAAGCGGAAACCCAACGCAGGTCTGCGTGCGACAGAAGCCGAAAAAAAAATTAAAGGTAGATCCATTGGTGAATCCTTAGGGAATGTGTTAGCATGACCCGTGGGAAACGCTAACACTGACCCCGTAATGAAGCCAAAAAGAGGCAGCAAAAAATAGAGGAAGCAAAATATAAAGCCAAAAGGGAAAGCCAAAATAGAAGAGTGAAGGAGTCAGAGTTAGCGTTTCTCAAAGGGGAACGTGTGTGACGTTTCCCGAAAGTCATGCTAACGCATTGCTTAACAATCCACCGATAAACGTTTTTTTTTTTTTTTTTTTTTTTTTTTTTTTAGCAAGAAACATGTACTTGACGTCTTAGCATCATATTAAAGTATATACTCAGGGTAACACGTAGCTAAAAAAACAGTGTTAAACTAGCAGTGAACAAGGAGGCAGCTGGACGGATTTTGGTCGCTCTTTTTTTTTAAATCCTTTTATTGTGGCGTCGCTTGACCGCTACAAACTAAGTAAATTTTGTTCAGTAACTTTCTAACCAGTAAAAATGAACATATTTTTCAAATTACAAATTTGCTAAGCCTCAAAAAAACACTACATTAGTAATTTTAGAATGCTTTGAGCGCGTGGGATGAGCAGTAGTACAATTACCACTCGTGTAACACCAAAAGGCTGGCAGTTAGAAAACACTGATCAGAGACGAATAAACCGCGCAAGTGTGTTATCGCACAGGTAGCCTTGTTCCTGCTACACGAGTGGTAACTTCACCGCTCCTTGGTGTTTCTCACCTATTCCAAGTCTTTCTAAAATTGATTAATTTTGTGGTTTTTGATTTCACTCAGCAAGTTTAATATTAATAAAATATGTTTACTTTGACAAACAAAAATGAGCATATATTAGTCAGTTATTCCGGCTTTGAGGAATATTCCCTTCACTATGTCCCCTGGCTGTAAAATTCACCTGCACAAACCGCTTTATTGTAGCTTTCGCAGCTTTTTTTCAACAAATCTATGGAGCCTAAATACACCCTCCTAACCATTTTATACCCAGAATTATATGTAATTTTATTTCATTCTATACTCTAACTATCTGAGAAAGACTTGTTTAGAGCGACATTTTTCTCTTCCTTCTGTTGATGAGGCACAACGAAACCCGCACTTGCCTGAGAAGAAAAGATGGATATATGGATAAAATAACTGCCCTCTTTTACTGATAAAGTCGAGGAACCCACTGCCAATTTACGGCTTGTTCCGTTACAGTTTAATATTCGTTCATTTAAGGAATTATTAATATGGTTCATATGCTCATTAGAATATCCGTACACATTACACTGTGTTCTATTATTTAGATTCCGTTTAAATACCTTAATGCAATCTGCTCTTTGAAAGTGACTCATGGAGTTGGCTGTTCGACATGTTATTAAACACTACTATAATTTTGATTTAACTCAAAATTCGTGATCGGATATATATATGAGGCAGTTTCAAGTTACATTGTTTTCGGAGTTTAAAAAGGTTTGACAAATTAAATATAATGTATTTTTGCCTCCTTCGTCAATTTCCTTTCAGCCAGTACTTCGGCAATGCCTTTTTAAGTGCCAACATGGACGTTGGGGGTTCCGCTCTATTCCGGGCTTTACCCTCGAGCCTAAGCCGGACGGAACGCCTTGCAGGGTGGGTATAATTTCAGCGATATAAAACCGCCGAATACACTGCCAGTATATTATGAAACGGCTCTGACTAATCATAAAACACAAAATCATGAAACATATTTTTGCTGGAGTGCCAGTTTCTGCATTGAAATAGCTCCCCCTAGGTCACTGACATGTTGAGGATGCAAGAGAGCTGCACCTACTCTTAGTGCAAGCTTATTAGATTCGATAACGCCTCGGCGTTTCATGAGCCTCGAGCATGCACCCGCAGCCAACGAAATGGCGGAAGGCAACAAGCGCGCGCTAGAGGCAGGGCATTCGAGAGGGACGGCCTGCCGTTCTCATCTTTTATTTTAATAACAAAACCTTTGAGTTCACTTGCTGATTTTTATAGAAATACATGTAACACAATAGCGTCTCTTGCGGTCAACGTCTTTAGGAAGCGCGAATATAATTTTGATATGTGAACCTTTCACAAAACCACAGCTAAGCAATCAGAGTAGTCATACTGCCTTCTGCATATAAATGTTCATTTATTCGGACCTGCGCTTAGTGAATTCCAAGTGGTTTTGTTTTGCGTATGATTTCAAAAATCAAAGGAACAATATCGAAAAAAACTTTTTTTTAAATCCTCGCAATCGTTTTCGGCAAACTTGCAGCATCTTGGACACTCCGGGTGGCCTCGTTGAGCTGCAAAAACAGTCACCGTTTTAGAGAATCGGGAACCAGTTTTAGCAGACGCTGGCACGAGCCATAGGAAACTTAAATAGCGATTGAAAACAGCTATGTTCACTAGCAGCCTAAAAAACACGGGGCATGTTGACTCCCGATCCACTTACTGCTGCTTCGAAGTCAATTAGATTGCGGTTTTAGCTCACGAGAACCTTGACGAAAGAGTCCCAAAGCAAGAACTGCGAACAAAGTAAGCCACGCCCTGAGTTTCTTAAACTGTCAGTGACGATACCTGTCAGCATCGTTCACGCTCGTTGTACTGGCTGAGAATGTAATCGCGTTGGGATGTTCTTGAGTCAGTATCAAGGATAGATAAGATGGTTCTCACCAAAAAGAAGCTTTTCCAAGTTAAAGCCCTATAAAATTTTTAGGTTTAAGTATGGGACAATGGGGACGCTGCGTCAATGAGAGAATGCGTGAACATGCCCTTTCCCTGCAGTAAACGACAAAAGGTCACTTATACGTACACTGCAGAGACTGCATGTGTCACCCAGTCGTCAAAGATACCATAATCATTGGCAGGGGGCGCACAAAAGTGCAAAGAGGTGCTGGATTCGCATGCAATAGAAAAAGCTGGCTCGGATCACTGCGTCAGCCAGCCTTCGGTTTATCTTCACAAAAAAATAGATAGATTTTACAGATGCCTGGTGAGCGACACGCAATTGGTTGTTACGGCGTTGGTTGGCTGTGTGGTGTTTTCTTGTTTGAGCCGTTTTTAATAAAACTTAAGTTGATAGTCAGCGCTTGCCCTGTGCTCTACTCTCGCTGTCCTCGTCTTTTTTGCGCGCTGTTCCCAATTTCTTAAGTATAGCTTTCGAACTGAGAATACAAATCACCTACCTGTTAATTGGATTTGACGAATATAAACTAGTAAATAACAAAAAAAATTACACGTAATATGCACCGTATAATTAAGTCTATCGGACATAATGGAAGTGTGATCCGTTCCTTGTTGTCTTTCTTGCCTCTGCGTTCCGTCAGGAAAATGTTGTCGCGCTTTTGTTTTTTTTTCAAATTACTGCAAACGCATGACAAACGAACGTATCAAAATGGATACGTTCGTGTGGGTAATCCCGTCCTCTCTAATCAAGAGGCGCTAATCAATCCCCTGCTTTCCCAAACTGATATCGGAACTACCTTGAATCCTACGACAGCAACTATTTCAGAATTAATGAACATCTAGAATGGCAGGAAATAAATAAATCATGACTATTTTTCTGATGGATGCCGTAGTAGATTAACTGAGAGCGTGAAGTGCACAAAATTTACTATTACAATAACCTGAAATTAAACAATTTGGTCTGCCACTGTTTCGTATCACATCAACCAATAAAAGGTCTAACATTTAGTCAATCTTAGAAGTTTTGTCAAGTCAGTGTTTCAGTAAAAAGTTGTTTCAGAGATGGCTTCGTCCAATAGCAAGTTTCTATCTCGAGTACTAATAATAATCCTCCATCGCCTAGCATTTTCCGACTTTTCCCGCAGGTCTTGTTTCAATTCTGTATGTTGCATGTTAGAAATCGGGAGCTTAGATTAACGAAATTCTTAGATATTATTATTTCTTAAACATCGGCAAATTATCAATACTCGCCGGTAATTAATCATTGAACATTCAAGAATTCGATCCCCGTGACAGTAACATTCCTCTCTATTGAATTTGGGCACTCTTTAAAAAGCATAAGAGAGCGATATTTTTTTATTCTTTAGTGATAATCAGTACGTGAAGTTACGAGACTATCCTTGAGGGTACACTGCCTCATGTACGAAATTGCGTGATTTCAGAGTTCTTTTATTCTTTTATTGGAGGAGTTTTAGATTAGTAAAACGAGCTCCAAGCAAGAGAAAATGTGATAGATCACATAATTCGAAAGCGTGTGTAAACCGTAACTTAAACATCTGTAAATCTATTTTGTCGACGCGGAAAAAAAATTTAACGTAGTGTGTATATCAATGAAAACTTCAAAAGATGCAGTGTTATTTAATCATGCAAACACGTTGTAAAACAATAATTAGTTCATAACATTTTATTTAAAAAAGTGATTGTTTAGGTTATATTATAATGCCAAACATGTTGTATTTTGCAATATGAAGTTTATAGATGGTATTAAAATTATACTTTTATTGTGATTTCTCTTCCCCAGGGAGTTTTGGGCTTATTAAACGTAGTGTGTATATCAATGAAAACTTCAAAAGATGCAGTGTTATTTAATCATGCTAACACGTTGTAAAACAATAATTAGTTCATAACATTTTGTTTAAAAAAGTGATTGTATAGGTTTCATTATAATGCCAAACATGGTGTATTTTGCAATATGAAGTTTATAGATGGTATTAAAATTATACTTTTATTGTGATTTCTCTTCCCCAGAGAGTTTTGGGCTTTTTTGGAGGAGTATGCAAGAATGGAAGATGTGTAAAGCCGACAGCTAACATGACTGGCCCAAGCCTTCCTGAATAAACACGCATTACTGCGGAAAGCATTCAAGGTGGTTCCGAGAAGTGGCCCCAGTGTCTTCTCATAAATATTTGTTTAAAACGTTCTACAAATATGTTGCATTGTATAACTAACAAAATACTAAATTTATGTTTGATATTGGGGAAATAAAATAAAGTAGAAATGGACAACTGCATGTCTAATTAACGCTTCTGACCTGGCTGTTGTTCGAAACATTAAAATGTACGTACCTAGAATGCGTTCCAATATAATGATAGAAGTGGGACATTACTTGATGATTCACAAATTATATCAGTAGTAATCTAAAACAAAGTCCCACTGGCATCGCGAGAGTGCTTTTGTAGTCTAAAATTTGCGACTATACCAACAAAGAGGTGCAGCTCAAAAAAGTATTTACAGCAAAATTTATAAAAGGCCTCGATTCGAACTTTACTCGAACTCCACTGGGAACTCCATTCGAGGGCGGTTTTACGCTTCATAAACCGGCCTCCACTCCAAACGCTCCTCAGCTCCAGGAAATACTCGACACTTTCCTCGAGAATCTCGAGGTAGCTCCGGCGCTGCCTCGAGAAGCTCCTCGACTCGCGTTGCGAGTGTCATGGCGGCCGACAAGTCGTTCGCGGAGTTCGTGCACTTCGTTCTAAGCGCAAAAGAGATCCTCTACGATGACGCAGGCGATAGCCTATCAAGACATGTGTCAAGACGGTGTTTCAGGGATTACGTGAACCCGCTAGAACACTTCACTGAGCTCGAGTTTCTTGTGCGGTACCGCTCCATGAAGGCAACCGTAGCGAGCATTCTGCTGTCTCTGCCGGGAGCGCGAGTGCTCAGGGCCTGCCACCCTCACCAATGCTGCACCTCATCGTTGCTTCGAGCTTTTGTGGTGCCGAGGCGTTTCAAGTTGTTACGGGAACCTTGTGAACATGTCGCAGCCGACGGTGTGCCGGGTTGCGGAGCGAGTCTCTCGGCTCCTTGCACGTACTCTCTTTGGCTGCTCGGTGAAGTTTCGGACTGCGCGGGGAACTTTAATGCTTTCATTCGGGGCTACTGCAAAATGAAATTTCTAGGCGTGAATGGGTGCACTAATAAAAGGACCCAGAGGTTCCGATGTGGAAGTGTTTTCGAAACATAAAGGAATACTTCTCCATCAACGTACAGATAAGTTCACTCCAGTTTTCTTTCTTTTTTTTTTTTTTTTTTGCAGTGCCAGATTTAATCAGTCAAACTGTACGGTGAGATTCGGTATAGTAGGTATAAACTTTGACGTAACGATATGAATGAAAGCTTTATGAAAAATGTGTATTCTGCGACAGTTTGCACGACCGAGCTTGCGGAACTCACATTCATCTGAACGAAAAAAGAGTGTCATTAAACGGTCGCCGGGTCCTGCGAGAGCAGGGAAATAAGTTAAAATAAAACTAACTCCCGATCGGGTTGACAAGCACAATGATAGTAGAGGCCCGAGTGCACCCGCCTTGCAAGAAGAGTCATGACCACAGCACATTTTCTGCGAATGTGGGACGAGACGATCTGTTGCAACAGCGTGTCATCCCAGATGAACCTTTTGATCGTCAGATCCTCAAAATATGAAGGCTTAAAACAAAACTAGATTAGAATTGAAAATGATGAACGAGTGTTTACTTTTTCTTGAGGGTGATGGCATGCACTAGAAATAAACATACAGATGAAAACATGCATTTAATGGCGTTCACTAGGTTGTTTGTACAATTGTTAACTGACAACAGTCCCGGATGTAAACAGTTTTTTTGTGTCTGCTTGTGTTTATGTCATGTACGCCAAAGTGGACGGCGAATGCCCAGTGCTTTGAAACATTTGTTGTTCATCGAGGTTGGTTGGTGTTGGGTCTTGGCATTCGTTGATAAAATAAGACTACGGCTTAAGAGTGCACGCAAATATATAATAATGAATTAAATATACCCCGATACGAAACCATTCGCAGGGCTATAAACTTCAGCAAGCAGCAGAGCGTACCGAAAATACAGCTAGTAGCAAAAGCTCATTTTGTACAGCACAGCACTCGAACAGGACAAATGCCTGCAGCCATCTAAAAGAGACTTTGTGAAGCGTAATATGCGGGGAGGGACATTATCCGCTCACGACAAAAGCTGTGCATCTACAGTTGAAAGACGTTGTCCTATTCAGCATTTTCTATCAAGAACAGTATATCTGATCGTTTATCGGAAATACACTACAGCACAATCCAGCCCCACGCTTTCTATTTAAACAATAATTGCGCTTTATTCTTCCTGTGCAGAGTATCAGTGCTCTGAATATAAGAAGATATCGTTTCACGTGTTCTCTTTTTGTAAGGGAAGCATGTAACAACGACCTATCTGCCGGCTGTGCATTGGTCTAGCGATCGCGTTAGGAAACGCCTTGTGAATGCGGTTCAATCGCCAAATGTAGCTTAGCCCGTTTTCCAGGCTGCAATTAGCGGCGAGATGTTTTAGTGGCGCCCTCCTACGGTTACCTTTCGTGACGTCATTACCTTGCGAGCAACAAGTTAGATGGTGTTTGTAATGAGCATGGAGAAAGCTTGAAATCATTGCGCTCTTAAAGCAACACTACCAACACCGTCAAATTAAAAGTCCTTACATTCCTCTTATTTCCGTCAATGAGAGATCCTTTGCTGACGTCATAGTCAGCATTTGGCCAATCGTGCAAGGCCGACCTCAGCGACGCTTTCGATCGCGCACGTCGCCAATAGACCTTTCATAAATTCAGTGCGATCTAGTGACTCTAATATCTGTCTAAATGTTTGTAGGCTAATGGCGGCTAAAATCAAGTACCTATTCGTCAACGGCAGACGTGCGAAAGTTACGGTGTTCTTCCCGCTATAGTAACTTCTCTTTTTGTTACAATTCAGATGGTGCCGAAAAAGTACCACTTTGTAAAAGGCGCTTAGTTAGTAAAACTTTTTATAAAATTCACCACATTTTATCGTGATAAGCTGTCTGGGGCGTGCCGAAGCCGTGAATTTGAAAGATTGACTTGAGAAACTCATAGTGCACAAAAGCTTCTATACTATGTTTCATACCTAGTGTGCAACGTTGTCAAAGTTTTTGGCGCGAGCATGGGGCTTGATCTCGTTGCTCATTTGCACGCGTTCTCGCGCAAACAAAACCATAGATGAAGCCCCGCGCTCGCGCCAGTAGCTTTGACAGCGTTGCACGCTAGTATTAGCGATGAGCGCGACCAAAAGCGTCGCTGCGGTCAGCGTTCCACGATTGGCCAAACCATCGGCATATGAGCATTGTAAAATTGTCAACTTTGGCGGTGTTAGTTTCGGGTTGCGATGGCACCTAGCTTCCACTGTGCTTTTTAAACACACCACCGAACTCGTCGTCGCACCTGATGGTAAGTAGCCAGGATAACAACTGGTGACGTCACGGCGAGGCAAATCCCAGTCGTGACGTCACGGATGGAAACCATAAGAGGGCGCCACCGAAACATCTCGGCGCTAATAAAAGGAGTATAAGTCTCGTCACGATGACATCGAACAACACCGAACAAACGTCTGGAATGCTGACTCCGCATCGGCGCCTGTCTTTAAATGTTTTCTTCACCAGCCTATAAAACGCCGCCATTAGCATGTACAGACCAGGTGATGATAGTTAGCGAAATGACCAGGCTGAATTTTGGAAAGGGTATATTATTGCCGAAAAATAGTGCCAAGCGCGTCGCTGGGCGAGCGCGTACGTAACCGAATGGTTACCGTGCTTGGCTGTCGTGCGGACGACCTGGGTTCGATTTCAGCGAGCGGAATGTCCTCCTATTTATGCTTTCTACTTGGCTTTCTCGCAAATTCGAGAACTTTCTTGTCTGATCGAGTTACGAATGTTCTAAGCGCCGAACTCTCTTGGGCGAATGTTCCAGAAACCCACGCGGCAGCAAAAGGTGCTCCGCGTGGCAAGCCGGGGTTAGTCCCGCCCGACCACTTAGTCTTGAAGTTACGCCGCCATCGACGCCGGCGACGCTAGCCATTTTCTACTTTGTTTTGGGCACAAGTTCGCCCCATTGAACGTTAAGTTTGCTTCAGTTTCATCGCCTCATCAATTGTCATTCGTGACAAAAGTGCGCCTCTAGCTCTTCCGACTAAAATCGCGGTCGCACTGTCGCAGCAGCTCTGCGACCGTGCTCCAACCAGTTTAAGTCGAACGGCAGCCTTGTCATGGTACCGTGTGCCGTAGCGTCGGTTCTGTTGCTGCATGCCATGTGACCAGAAAAGACAGAGCGGAAACGACGGAAGCGAAGCCACCGTTGACAGACATTTCACACGTCCTCGTTGTGTATTCCAGACAAAAGATAAAGCACCTAGAGAGTTGCGAAATTAAAAGTAGCGCTAAAGACGAAGACAAGTAGAAGACACAGACAGGGAAAGGCGCTGACTCGCAACTGATATTTAATGAAGAATGAAAGGGAGATAAAGCAGGAGTGCAAGGACATATAGGAAATGTAAAAGAAGGCTAACCAAAACGAAAGAAAGCAACAATTATTTTATGAATTCAAAATTAAGAAATAAGAAAAAAGTACGGTAAAATTTAAAAAAAAATACACTAAAAAATTTAAATGAAAAATTGCTCCACTTAAATGAAAGAAAGAGGAAAAAGAGGACTCTGAAAATTAATCTAGTTAAACGAAGTTCTCACACAAAATATTGTAACTAGTGCAATTCCTTCGTTGATAAGGCTACCGACGGTGCACTGATGCATGTATTCCCTTTAGCTGCTATGACTTGTGCCTCATAAATTTCTCTTGTTCTTTGATCACTGAACGTGAAACATTAGGTGCGGGTCGATAGTGCGTAGCCGTGTCCCTTGATCGGTGGCGCCGTCCCAGAGACGTTTGTTTACGCTCTTCCCTATACTTCGTCTCACCCTACGATGGAGTAAAGGCAGAAGCTACGGACCACCATATCCAATCACGAGCCACTTACAAGTTGCGTGGCATTTCGCTTCGATGCGCGTATCGGCACCCGAATCTCGAATCACTAATGGGGAGGGGCGGACGGTAGTTTGGATTGAATAGCACTGAGTGACTCAACGATTTTACATT